TTGAGTCCCGGACCTAGCATCTTGCTTTCTCACTTTCTCTCTCTCTCTCACTCATTCTGTCCTTTTCTGGTCAAATTAAAATGAATAAATAAGGTTAGATAAAATAATTCTTAAAAAAGAAACTGTCTAGGCTGTAAAGAAAAAAATTGAAAAAAAAAAGAATTATTTATTTTATTTGATTTATTATTAGCTTTAAATTTGACCAGAGAGAGAGAAAAGGAAAGTGAGAAACCAAGCCACCAGGTCTGGGACTTGAACTGTGGTTGGCTATGTGGGAGTCCAGTGCCTTAACTACCACACCACCTACTAGCCCTGCAAGTGCTTTTCTTTGGGTCTATTTAGGAAATTTTGCGTAATCTAAGGTCACAAAGGTGTTTTTCTATGTTTCTTATAAAAGTTTTATTGCTTTACTGCCGGTAACTTAATCTTGGACTTACCAGTCTCCAGAACTGTAAGCAATACACTTCTGTTGTTTGTAAATTACCTAGTGTAATATACAGGCACTCCTCAATTTACTATGGGATTATGTCCTGATTAAACCCATTGTAAATTGAAAATACTGTAATTCAAAAGTGCATTTAAGGGCCAACCAGTGGTGTGGTGGTTAAGGTGGCTGGACCCTACACAACTGACTGCATGGTTCGAGTCCTGGACCTGGTGGCTTGAAGAACACACCAGACACATGTGCATGCATGCATGCCAAAAATCCTGAGAGGAGAAGGGAGAAGGGATTAAAGCATGACAATCTTCCCTGAGGAATGATTTCTCACTTTCTCTCTCAGGTGAGTCCTACAGAGAAAAACTAAAACAAACAAAAATTTAATACATATAACCTAGCAAACATCTTAGCTTAGCTAGCCTACCTTAAATATGCTCAGAACACTTACACTTGGGTAAAATCATCTAATGAAAAGCCTAATTTATAACAAAATCATTATAAAACTATTTGAATTAAAATGGCTTTTAATGAATGTATATTACTTTGACACCATTGTAAAGTCAGAAACGTTTAAGTTAAACAATCGTAAGTTGGGGGGCATCTGTATTTTGTAATAGCAGCCCAAGCAGACTAAGACACGAGGTTCACAAAGTTCTTCACAGGTTGGTCCCCATCACTCTCTGCATAAAAATAAATATTCTCTTTCTTCCTTTGTACTCCATATTCTACCCAAACTAAATTGCTTGTAGTCTTTTACCTCTGTGCTGCCTGAGAAGCTCTTCTGACTTTCCCATAACTAAATATTGGGTTCTTGGAAAAGTCATAAAATATTTTTCTGTTTAGAAATGTGTCATGACTTTTCTGACAACCTACTAATTGCCAACTATCTTTCATATCTGGTCACTTTGCATGTGTACAGAACACATGTGTACACTTTGCATAGAACTCCCCATAATTATCTGTAGCTGTCTCACTATCTTTCCCCCTGAACCATATAGGAGGTCCTATAGGCTGTGCCTTTACCCTATCACTCCTTCCTGGTGACCCCAACTCCACAGGAGGTATTTCTGTCCCATAGGAATGCACCAGATGCTTGTAGTTGGACAGTGTTTTAGGTTCGAACATCCCAGGGCAGGTGAGTGAATCCCCAGCATGATCACCATAGTCAGCCCTCCCATGGTGCACCATCCTGCATCCACACCTCAAGGACCAGAGCAGACACCCTGCAAAGGATCCTCCTATTTCTTCAGGACCCTTGTGGACTGCAGACATACCTGGCGCCCAGCCTCGTTGTTGTGACGGTTCATAGCAGAGCGGGCATCAGGCCTGTTCTCCCGGGCATCTGCAAACTCCCGAGACACCATGCCTCCAAACTCGATGTCCTCACTACAGCCGCCCCACTTCCAACCTTCACCTGGTGAGCCCTGATGACGGCTACTACAGCCACAGATGGTGGCTGAGCCCTCCGCACATGAGCGTGTCACTGCAAAGGCCACACCAGCTGAGGCAATAGCATGGACAAAAGCTGACTCCCTGGTGGCTGTAGAGAAAGGAGAGACTCAGGGTTAGTGTGGCCTGGTATGGAGGGTAGCAGTGGGGGAGGCTATGGGTCCATAAACCAGGATCTGAGTAGAAATAACTCCAAAGAAAGTAACACCAGTAGCACTTGATAAGGTGTTCAACATTACTCAGCATGGGCAATGCAAATCAAAACCAAACCAAACAAGGTGCTACCTCACATTCACTGGGACAGCTGGAATCAAAACTCAGAGAATAGCAAGTGTTGGCAAGGATGTGGAGAAATGGGATCGCTGAACCTGGAAGGAAAATGGTACAATCCCCTTGGAAAGCACTTTGTCAGTTTCTTCAAAAGTTAAATTATACACCCATCTCCCAGCCTAGCCATTACCTCCTAGGTCTTTACCCCAGAATAAACTCATCCACACAAAGACATAGAAACAAATGTCATATGTGGTGGTTTAATTAATCATAGTCTGAAAATGGAAGCACCCAACTGCTTCCTTGGCTTTGACTTTCTCTCCTTGAGGCCCTGGGCTGATAGGAGGGAGAAAGGAGCAGGAGAGAGACTTCCTCCAAGTAGATAGGTGTGAGACCAGTGAGGCTCTCCTGGGGCTGGGGCAATTCAAGGCATATTAGGGGATATGTCTCTCTGTGTCCTGAACTTCTTCTGGGCAAAGACCCCCAATGGCCCTGAAGGTTGAGTCATCATAAGAGAGCTGTGGCCTCCCTGCCTCACATGGAGATCCAGGGAGGGACTAGTTGGGTTGCAGAGCTGCTCCCCATGTTACCCCTAGCCAAGCTTCAGGATAGCAATCTCTGAGGTACATGGCTGAGTGTATGTGTCCAGAGTCCAGGCAGGCAAGGACAAGGGAGTTTCAAGAGAGTATGTACACACTCAAACACACCCACATGGCTTAGTACACATCCACATTTACTCCATACCAAGAACACACAAAGCAGAATGTGTGTGAAGATGTGGCTTTGCACCAGCTTCTCCCTGGTAGCCTGTGAGCTCTTCTAGTCTGCCTTTGAGGATGCTTTCTGAGGATTTGCCAACGCTCTCCCTCCTCTGTAGGCCCTGCCTACCCCATCTCCTCAGGGCACTGCCCAGAGCAGAAGGGAATTCTCCATTTATCTTGTACTTCCTACTACCTGCTCAGGGAAAGGACTCTGCTAACTGGCCAGGGACTAAACACACCTGAAACTCAGCCCTGGTTCCACTGCGCTGCTGGGGCCTCCCAGCCCCTTCTGCCCCTCCCAACCCTTCGCTGTGACTCTGTCTCCCAACTCTTCAGATCCCAAGAGTTTCCTAGTTGGATCCCTCACTCCAGCCTCCCTTCAGTTTCCTCCCCTACCCCCAACATGTGTGTATACATATACACACATAGAAGTGCTATAGACCAGGCTTTTTGCCAGATGCCAATTCAGTGGTGCCAGGTCCTCTCTCAAACTTCCAAAGCCTTTTTCCTTTCCTGACTTTTTGCCTTCTCAGTCTCATCAGCTGTTCCCTAGTCTCAAGCCACACTCAGCCCTTTTGTCCTTCCCTTGGGCTCACACTGTACCTGACGGGTGGAGCAGTAGCCAGGCTCCTGGGTGTTGACCACACAATTGCTCCTCAACCCGAATGACTTGTCCACATGATTTAGCCTTGATGTTCCCTTGGGGTAGGGACTGTGTCTGGCTCATCTTTTGTTTACAATCTGGAGCATAAGACCTTTCCTATCGATGTTTGTACGGGTCAGAAGAAAGCAGAGCCTTGGGCTGGGACAGGGAGACACAAGGGTCTGAACCCACTCTTAGACGGTCCACCTCTGTCCCTCCAAAGGACTCAAGTCCACCATGCTGTGTCCAGAGGGCCAGGACAGCTCCCTGACATCTCTTCTAAAAGTAGCCGGTCAATTGCCTTATCTACAACCTCCAAGATGCTGAAGCCCCCATACCCTGTTTTCCTTTCCTAATATAACTGTGCAGCCCACAAACAGGCCTAGAGTTGGACCCAAAGCACCTGAGTCAATCAATACTAGCATGAGCTAGAGGCAGTCTTCTCCTGATCCTTCATTCAACAGAGCACCTGCCCTTATTTTATCTTTAGAGATTTAAGACTCCCCCCTCCCTACCCTCCGGGAGTGGGTTTAGCTTCTGGATTCCTCATCCTTCTAGAGTCCCAGTCTGGCCTTCCCTCCTTGGTCTCTCCTCCCCTCCTCCCTCTCAAACATGGTTTATGGGCTATGAAGTCTGGCAGCCCCCTGGACTCCTTGAGCCTGGCTTCCTGGCTCCACCCACACTCTCCCAGAACAGCTCAGGAAGCAGGTCTGAGCCTGGGTCCTGGTTGCAGGGAGAAGGGTAATGGGAACCTGGGAAAAGGGTACTGCCTTCTCCCACCTGAATTCGTTTATTCCCAGCCTGCCAAGGCCAGCATCAGGGGCCCTTCTCAAGGCTGGGCATCCCAGCCTGAATATCCTGCCTCCTACAGGAGCCTGCCCCTGAGGACAGCCCCTCCCTCCCTCTTCCACCTCCCTCCCGTGGCTTCTGAGCAGGCCCTGAGAGATAAGGAGAGAGCCAGAGCCAGGGCCAGGCTCTCTCTGGTTGCTTATGCCCTGCTCTGAAGAAGGGCTTGGAGATCCCTGCTTATCAGAACTCAGGCAAACAGCCCAGGGCAGCCAGACACACTTGAAGGGAAGGGTGTGCAGGGGAGAGGGTGGAGCTCAGGGCTTAACCTTTTGGGGAAAAGAGTTCATTCTTGCCCAGCTCCGTCACCGACTAGTTGGGTGATCCTCTCTTCCCTCTGGGCCTCAAATTTTCCCTTCTAACAAACAGGGTAGGACTCCTTTCGTACAGTCTTTGCAGCCAGGATGGGCCAGGGTTAGCAAGGGTTGATTAGACCAAGAAAACCCTGAAATAGGCCTTCAATTGATTCATGAAGAAATGAAGGTAAGAAGTGTCTGCAAAGAGGCTCAGACCACCAGGACAGAAAACTCCCCCAGCCTGTGAGGCCATAATAGAAGCTACAGGCTGCACGACCATAGGCCAGAAAAATGTGAGACAGTATGTTCTGGCAATGAGAATCTGTTTTAAAGCTGAAGCCACAAGTTTTTAAGCAGTTCCCCAAGATATTGGTCAATTACAAAGGCAAAACCTATAATTTTGTGCTGGAGAAATTTGGCAGATACCACCTTAATCGGGAGATCAAGGTTACCATCACTGGCAATGGGACAGACACCATGGGCCTCCCAAGAGTGCCCTGGAGGTATTCTCACCAAAAATGCGTCACCTGCATCTAATCATCAGGAGACATCAGATGAACCAAAATTGATGGCCATCCTTCAAAATACCTGACTACACTCCTCTGCAGTCTCAAGGGCCTTGAAAGATGAGCAAAGGCTGGAGGAGCCCGAGAAAGGTGATGACCAAAAGCAGTGAGGGATCAGGGATGGGATTCTGGGAGAGTAGAATAGGGTTTTTTTGTTGTTGTTCTTTTTTTGGAGAGGTTTTTGCTACAGGGCACGTGTACTCACCAGAAAGACAGAGAGAGACAGAGAGAAAGAAAGCGAGAAATCACCCCCCAGGGGGGATGGCCACACCATAATCCCTTCTCCTCCATTCTCCTCTCGGGATCTTGGGCATGCACGCATGTGTGCACAGCGTGTTTAAGCCACCGGGTCCGAGACTCAAACCACGGTCGACAACATGGGAGTCCAGCGACATAGCCATTATGCTAACCGCTGGTCCCAATAGAATAGTTTTGATGGATACAACATGGTTACATACAGTGTCAACAGTACGGTAGGCTGGGCGAGGGGACCTAGGACATTCAGTACCACTCCTACAAGGTTTCTATAAGTCTAAAATTATTTCAAAATAAAAAGTTAAAAAATGTCCTGAGTCTATACAGAAGGAAGACCCCCACAATATCCAGATGACATCTCACAGTGGCAAGGCATTTTAATCCAGTAGGATTATTCTACCCAGGGATTTATGGGTAGGCTTCGGGGGGTATGTAGTTCTGAAATCATGAGCGGAAACCACAGGGTCTGTCTGGGAATGCATGTGTTTTTCTGGAAAGAGAATTATCGTTTTATCAGATTGCCACAGGGGTTTGAAACTAACAGATTATGAACAGCTGCCCCCAAATAATCTCCATTTACAAAGGAGCTGAGGACAGTGCTTCCCTGAGGTTGCCTGATGGCGGGCCTGGCTAGGACTCACACCTAGGGCTGGAGTCAGGAAGCCACCTGAATCATAGCCAAGTTCTCTGCTACAAACAATACCTTTGTCAGAGATTTCTACTTTTGTTGACACAACAGAGTATCTAAGGATAAGGCATCCTACTCCTGGGAAGTGCCAGCCACTCCAAAAGGCAAAAGAATCACCTCAGGGATGTTAATACCTTCTTTCTACTGGGCTGTCAGAGGTCAAAAAAGCTGGAGACAGAGTGTTTAGAGACAAGTGATGCTAATGTGGTCAAGTCACCTGGGGCAGAGCCTGGATGAACATTTTGAATTACCTAAGGACTGTCCTTTGAATCCTGTGACTTTTATTTCCACACTCCAATAGCATATTGGGGAAAGGAAGAAGAGAGAAAACTATGAAAAAATGACTCTGTAAGAAAAGCAGATTCTACCTAGGGAAACTATCTTCTCAGAGACTTGCTGTGGTTTCTTTTAGCAATTATTGATTGAGTTCATGCAAAATATCAATGATCTACCCTTCATTTCTTCCTTCCACTCACCACTCATCCTCCAATCCATGCATCCATCTGTCCATCATCCATCTATCCATTCACTCAACTATCCATCCATTAGCCATCACCTATAGATTTATTCACGGTGGATGAATAAATCATCCATCTATCTATCCATCCATCATTCATTATTCACCCATCATCTACCTATCCATCCATCCAACCTCCACCCAACCATCATCTATCCATCCTTCTATCCACTCACCTTCCCTCTATGATCACCCATCATCTATCATATGTGCATCCATCCACTATTCATCCATCTAGCCATGCAGGAT